TAGGCGCGCCCCACCACGCCCGGCTAATTCTGTATATTTTAGTAGATAGGGGGTTTCTCATGTTGTTCGGGCTGGTCTTGAACTCTTGACTCAGGTGGTCCTCCTGCTTCGGCCTCCCGAACTGCTGGGATTTCAGGTGTGAACCAACACACCCAGTCTAGGGTTATTCAAAGGCCCAGGGGCTTTAAATTGCAATTATTTTTATTTTATTTTATTTTTTGAGACGGAGTTTCCCTCGTTGTCCAGGCTGGAGTGCGGTGGCGAGACCTCAGCCCACGGCAGCCTCCGCCACCCGGGATCAAGCGATTCTCCTGCCTCTGCCTCCCGAGTGGCTGGGACGACAGGCAGCCGCCACCACGCCCGGCTAATCCGTGCGGTCTCTGAGGCCCATGCTGGCCCTGACCCGGTGTCCAGCCTGGTGTGGGAGACGGCGGGTTACGTGGCAGCACCTGCGGAGTGGACACAGAGGAAGCAGCCGGGAGGAGGCAGGAACGGGGGCCCTGGACAGACCCCTGACCCGGGCTGCTGTCAGCTCCGGGTCAGCTCAGGGTGGGGGAGTCTGGGGTGGACTGTGCTGGGACAAGCCACTGTCACCGTCAGAGGCGGTGTGGGCCGCTCAGGACACGGACAAGGGCCACGCGAGGTGGGAGAGGCCGGAACCCGAAGAGCGTTTGCTAGCCCAGGCGTTCAGAGCCCGCCGGCCCCCCGCCTTCCCCCCAGGCCTGAGATGAAACCCCCTGCCCTGTTGCCCAACCCCGTCCTGTGGCTTCCAGGAAACGACCCCAGCAGTGCACAATGGCTGAGTGGAACCCATCACTCAGAGACCTGTTGCCAGGCATGGTGGCTCATGCCCAGCACATTGTGAGGCTGAGGCGGGCGGATCATGAGGTCAGGAGTTCCACACCAGCCTGACCAATATGATGAAACCCCCTGTCTGCTCAAAATACAAAAATTAGCGGGGCGTGTTGGCACGGGCCTGTAATGCCAGCTATTCAGGAGGCTGAAGCAGGAGAATCGTTTGAACCCCGGAGGCCGAGGTTTCGGTGAGCCAAGACTGCACCACTGCACTCCAGCGAGGGTGACAGAGTAAGACTCCATCTCAAAAAAATAAATAAATAAAAAAAATAAAAGAGCCTCCATGTCTCCTCCAACGGCCCCTCTGACCAGAGAGACCCCCATGGGCACACGTAGAATTTGACTGGGACAGGCTCATCCCTGGATGTTGACTGGAGGCTGCTCTTGAACTCCTGACCTCACTTGATCCACCTGCCTCGGTTTCCCAAACTGCTGGGATTGCAGGTGAGAGCCACCGCGCCCTGGCCAGCCTCACCATCTTTTAGTCGATTCTTATCATGCAAAACCTTCCCCTGCGTCCAGAACCCACACACCTGCAGAGGCAACGGCTACAGGTGATATATATATATATATATATATATATATATATATATATATATATAGAGAGAGAGAGAGAGAGAGAGAGAGAGAGAGAGATGACGTTTCAACATCTTGGCCAGGCTGGTCTTGAACTCCTGACCTTGTCATCCACCTGCTTAGGCCTCCCAAAGTGCTGGGATTACAGACGTGAGCCACCGCACCCGGCCGGAGACAACTTTTTGCTCTTAAAAATCAGGATCTCAGCCGGGCCCGGTGGCTCACGCCTGCAATCCCGGCACTTTGGGAGGCCAAGGTAGGGGGGGGATCACCTGAGGCCTGGAGTTCGAGACCGTCCCGGCCAACATGGTGAAACCCCATCTCTACTAAAAATACAAAAATTAGCCGGGCGTGGTGGCGCGTGCCTGTAATCGCAGCACTTTGGGAGGCTGAGGTGGGCAGATCACCTGAGGTCAGGGGTTCGAGACCAGCTTGGCCAACAAGGTGAAACCCCATCTTTAAAAATAAAAATAAATTAAAAAAAAAAATCAGTATCTGGGTCGTCCTGAGGCTCCAGGACACCGGCCTCAGCAGCCACCAGTGGCCCGAGTGGAACGTCAGTCACAGGCCCTTCTGACCAGAGACACCCCCGAGGCCACACCTTCAGGACGTCCTCCTGGGTGTCGCTAACCTCCCCCCCCCACCCCGGCCAGGGGGACCCCAGGGGCATACAGTGGGATTTACTGTTGGGTCGCCTGGGGGGGGTCTTCACGTCCCCAGGCCTGGTGAGGACGCCGGTCCCTCCCCTGACCCAGGACAACCCGGTCCCTGCGTGAGTTGGGGGCGGTGTTTGCAACCCACGTGTCCCGCGGCGGGACAGGTCCGTGGCGGGGGCGGGGCGTCCCTCCTCCAGCAGGAATGTCCGCTGCAGCCAATCACAGCGTCCCTCCTCCAGCAGGAATGTCCGCTGCAGCCAATCACAGCGTCCCTCCTCCAGCAGGTATGTCCTCTGCAGCCAATCACAGCGTCCCTCCTCCAGCAGGAATGTCCGCTCCAGCCAATGACAGTGTTCCTCCTCCAGCAGGAATGTTTGCTCCTGCCAATCACAGTGCCCCTCCTCCAGCAGGAATGTCCGCTCCAGCCAATCACAGCGTCCCTCCCCCAGCAAGTCTGTCCGCTCTAGCCAATCACAGCGGCCCGTGTGTGTTTTAGGACGTGAGCCGGGCAAAGACCCGGAAGCGGCCGGGAGCGCGGAGACGCCAGCGGCTGGAAGGTGAGTGACGGCGTCGGTCTCGGGATGGCGGGAATGTGGGGGGAGTGGGGAGGTTGTCAGCGCCCGAGGGGGGCTCGGGATCGGGAACCCGCGCTTCCGTCGCTCGGGCCCCGCGTCCTGCGCGTCCTCCCGGGACCCTTGGCCGGAGCGACAGCGGGAGAGTCGCCTGGGGTCTGTGGGCTGCGCGTCTGGCGGCTCCAGGCAGCCCGTGACCCCGACAGGGCGGGAGGCTCCGGGGAGGGAGTTCTCTGCTGGGTCCGAGGGACCCTGTGCCCGGGACGGTGGTGACGGGAGACTTTGGGGTCGTGACTCGCGCGGCCGGCTGGACGTCGTCACACAGTCCCGGGGTGCAGGGGCCAGCGCGGCCGTGGAGACCCCAACCCAGGCGGAGCCGAAGGGGTGAAGAAACGGGCACAGAGAAAATAAAACGTGGGTCCGAGTGCGGGGGTCAGAGGTCAGACTCTGATCCTCGTATTCTTTTATTATTATTATTTTATTTTGTTCCTCAGGTGGAATTTTTTTTTTTTTGTTCTCAGTTATTTTGTTTTTTATTAAATAAAGATGGACAAGGAAAAAAAATAAAAAATAAAAAATAAAAGAAAAGTAAATAAATAAAGACGGTGTTTCACCATGTTGGTCAGGCTGGTCTTGAACTCCCGACCTCAGGTGATCCACCCGCCTTGGTCTCCAAAGTGCTTGGATTACAGGTGTGAGCCAACACGCCCGGCCGTTTTTTTTTTTTTAAATTTATTTTATTTTTATTTTTAAACACGGGGTTTCATCATGCTGACCAGTCTGGTCTTGAACTCCTGACCTGGGGATCTGACCGCCTCGGCCTCCCAAAGGGCTGGGATGACAGGCGTTAGCCACTGAGCCCGGCCCCTTGTATTTATTCTTTACTTTCCAGTGACAAGTTGTTTTTTTCTTTTTTCTTTTTCTTTTTCTTCTTTTTTTTTTTTTTTGAGACGGAGTCTGGCTCCGTCACCCGGGCTGGAGGGCAGTGGTGCGATCTCGGCTCACTGCAACGTCCACTTCCCGGGTTCAAGCACGTCCCCTGCCTCAGCCTCCCCAGTGGCAGGGATCACAGGCGCACACCAGCACCTGGCTAGTTTTTTTTTTGTTTTTTTTTTTGGCATTTTTAGTAGAGATGGGTTTCCCCATGTTGGTCAAGCTGGTCTCGAACTCCCGACCTCGTGATGTGCCGTCTTCAGCTCTGTGATCTTTCACTGGTTCAAGGTCAGGTGTCTGGCAGCTACTGTGCGTTCACTGGACGTGAAGGAGAAACGAGACCACAGTCTTCCCTAAAAAACAGAGGGAAGCGACGTCCTGTGTTCCGAGCGCTGATCCCTCTGGTGTGAGACGTGGTCACACTGCTCATTAGCGTTCCAGAACGCTTTGAGCAGTTTGCTGCCGGGCTCTGGGCACTCGCCTCCTTCCGCGGACTCACCCACCAGCTACTCCCTGCGTGCGTGGGCTCTGGGTGCGGGTCACGGCCACTCACGCCTCTGGGACGTGACCTTCCGGAGGACTCACCGGGCAGGAAGGTGGGCGTGGGTGTGTCCCGTGGCCTGCCGGGTGCCTGGGCTTCTGGGCGTGTCCGTCATCGGACTGTGGAGGCCACAGGGTGCACAGGACCTGCCGAGGGAAGGTCGGTGCCCTGTGCGGTGGCCCCCAGAACCCAGGCAGATGTGCCATCCGGACCACCCGCAGAGGTGGGGGGCCGGGGCTAAGGGCCGCCTGGAGGCTGCTGCCTGCTGCATTGTGTCACGTGTGGGGAGCGTTCGGGGGGACTTGGGGACAGGAGGGGACGCCCCTCATGGTCAGGGAGCTGGGGAGTGATGGAGGAGTCAGGGGGATGTGGGGACAGGTGTGGGGACAGGAGGGGACGCCCCTCAGGGCTCAGGGGAGCGGGGGAGTGATGGAGGGGTCGAGGGACGTGGGGACAGGTGTGGGGACAGGAGGGGACGCCCCTCATGCTCACGGAGCATCTTCTGGCCCAAACACCGTCCGAGAGGGCAGTGGCGCAAATAAAAAGAAAATGCTCACATGTACCTGGGAGGTGGCATTCGCTGGGAACGGTGGCAGGCGCCCGTCACCCCAGCTGCTGGGGAGACTGAGGCAGCAGAACCGCGCTCCAGCCTGGGGAACAAGACCAGAGCTCCCGTCTCAAAACAAATAAACAAAACAACCCTTGGTCTCTACAGCCGTCATCTTAACGCAGATGCTCCTTTCTCCTAATAACAACTCTTTATTTTTAGAGACACAGGGTCTCACTCTGCTACCCAGACTCATTATTTGTGTTTTTAGTACAGACAAGGTTTCACCGTGTTGCCCAGGCGGGGCTCGAACTCCGGACCTCACGTGATCCACCCGCCTCAGCCTCCCAAAGTGCTGGGATCACAGGCACCGGCCGCCGCACCCGAGAGAGGAACTGATTCCGAACTGCCCCTGCGTTTGGGGCCCAAGGTGGGTTTGCATGGTAGAGTCTACTGAGGTGAGTCTGTTCTCTAGGAGTCTCTTCTTTTTTTTTTTTTTTTGAGTCAGAGCCTCACGGTGTCACCCAGGCTGGAATGTGGTGACGTGACCTCAGCTCACTGTGACCTCTGCCTTCCGGCTTCCAAGGATTCTCCTGCCACAGCGTCCGAGTAGCTGGGATCCCAGGCACCTGCCATGGCGCCCGGCCACCTTTTAGATTTTTACTAGAGAGAGGGTTTCGCCACGTAGGCCAGGCTGGTCTTGAACTCCTGACCTCAGGTGGTCTGTGCGCCTCGGCCTGTGAAAGAGCTGGGATGACAGGTGGGAGCCACTACGCCCGGCCCCTCGGGGTCCCATTTCCGAGAGGAGACCCCAGGTCCATCTGGAACATTCCTCAGATCTGAAACTGTCAACAGGCTGATTTCGTCTTTAAAAATCGTGCATACAACCGGGCACAGGGGCTCACGGCTGTCATTCCCAGCACTCTGGGAGGCCGAGGCGGCTGGGTCCCCTGACTTTGGAAGTTCAAGACCAGCCTGGCCAACATGGTGAAACCTGGTTTCTACTAAAAATATAAAAGTTAGGGCCGGGCGCGGTGGCTCAAGCCGGTCATCCCAGCACGTTGGGAGGCCGAGGCGGGTGGATCGCGAGGTCAAGAGATCAAGACCATCCTGGTCAACATGGTGAAACCCCGTCTCTACTAAAAATACAAAAAGTTAGCTGGGCATGGTGGCGCGTGCCTGTAATCCCAGCTACTCAGGAGGCTGAGGCAGGAGAATTGCCTGAACCCAGGAGGCGGAGGTTGCGGTGAGCCGAGATCGCGCCATTGCACTCCAGCCTGGGTGACAAGAGCGAAACTCCGTCTCAAAAAAAAAAAAATCTATATATATATATAGATTTATATTTATATATAAATCTATATATATATAAAAATATATATATTTATATATATAAAATATATATATATAAATATATAAATAAATAAATATATATATATAAATCAGCTGGGCGTGGTGGTGGGTGCCTGTGATCCTACCTCCTCGGGAGGCTGAGGCAGGAGAATCGACTGAACCTGAAGGCAGAGGTTGCAGTGAGCCGAGATTGTGCCACTGCACTGCAGCCTGGGCAACAGAGCAAGATTCTGTCTCAAAACCAAAACCAGAACGTAGGACCCGAATGGCCATTTTCCTGCTAACGGGACAATATCCAGACTCAAATGTGGCTACAGAAGCCGTCTTCCTCCTAACTGTGGAAATCGGAGCTCTCCTATCAGAGCAGTAGCTTAGACCGTGATTTATTTTATGTCATTTTATAGAGATGGGTTTCTCTATGTTGGTTAGCCTGGTCTCGAACTCCCGACCCCTGGGGATCCGCCTCCCTCGGCCTCACAAAGTGCTGGGATCACAGGTGTCCCCTACCACACCTGGTCTAATTTTATTTTACTTTTTAATTTTATTAATTTTTTTTTTTTAATAAAATTTTTTTTAAGGGGATTTCCGGCAAACACCGGACAGGCTGCTAGACACCTTGTCAAAGAGCCGTGACACGTTTTATTTTATTGTGAGACAGAATCTCATTGTGTCACCCAGGCTGGAGTGCCATGGCGCCATCTCGGCCCACCGCAGCCTCCGCCTCCCGGGTTCAAGGGATTCTCCTGCCTCAGCCTCCCGAGTACCTGGGATGACAGGCACGCGCCACCATGCCCAGCTAATTTTTTGTATTTTTAGTAGAGACGGGGTTTCACCATGTTGACCAGGATGGTCTCGATCTCTCGACCTCGTGATCCACCCGCCTAGGCCTTCCGAAGTGCTGGGATGACAGGCGTGAGCCACCGCGCCCGGCTAATTTTCCTACTTTCAGTAGAGACGGGGTTTCACCACGTTGGCCAGGCTGGTCTCGAACTGTTGACTTCGTGATCCGCCCGCCTCGGCCGCCCAAGGCCAGACCCTCCCGTTCAACGGTGTGAGACGGCAGAGCCCTGGCGATGGGTGTTACGAAGAGGATTTCCGGTTCCACTAGGTGGCGCTGTCGGCTTAGAAATCCCACGCGCTGGTCAGAGCGCGAGCGCGTTTCGGTGAAATGACCCGGATGCTCATAGCGCGAAACGCTGGACGGGCAGCGCAGCACTTTGGGAGGCCGAGGTGGGCAGGTCACAGGAGATCACGGGTTCGAGGCCAACTTGGCCAACATGGTACAAACCTCGTTTCTACTAAAAATACAAAAAAAAAAAAGGGAGGCCGAAGTGGGTGGATCACCTGAGGTCAGGAGTTCAAGACCAGCCAGGCCATCATGGTGAAACCCCATCTTTTTAAAAAAAAAAAAAGAAAAGAAAAGAAAAGAAAAAAAAATAAGTAGCCTGGTGTGGTGGCGGGCGCCTGTATTCCCAGGTCCTTGGGAGGCTGAGGCAGGAGGATCACTCGAACCCAAGGTTGTGCCACTGTACCCCAGCCTGGGCAGCACAGCGAGACGCCATCTCAAAACAGAAACCTGTTTTCCATGTTTATTTATTTATTTATTTTTTTGACACAGTCTCAGTCTATCACCAGGTGCCAGGCTGGAGTGCAATGGCGCGACCTCAGCTCACTGCAATCTCCGCCTCCCGGGTTCAAGTGATCCTCCTGCCTCAGCCTCCCGAGTAGCTGGGATGACAGGCATTCGCCACCATGCCCGGCTAATTTTTGTATTTTTAGTAGAGACGGGGTTTCACCATGTTGGCCAGGCTGGTCTCGATCTCTTGACCTGGTGATCCGCCCGCCTCGGCTTCCCGAAGTGCTGGGATGACAGGCGTGAGCCACCGCGCCCGGCCTGTTTTCCTTACTTTGTAGACCTGGGAAGCTTCCTTAGAGAGATTTCCCGCACCAGGGCCCGATACCCCAAGAGATGGAGGCAGAGTCCCTGTGGGGGCCGGGCTGGGAGGTGCAGGACCTGGGTGCCCCCCACCAGGCAGTGCATGATGTGGCCACACCCAGGATTGAGGCCCCCGTGCCTGGTAGACCCCACGTCTGGGAAACCCCACAGCTGGGAGACCCCACAGAATCACCTATGGGGACCTTTTCACTGTCTTAGGCTGGAGAGTTTAACGTATGATCTCAGGGTGGGGGCTCCCTGGAAGGAAGACACATGCTACAGTCACCCCAGGAAAGAGGCTTTGCAAACTCCTTGTTGGGGTGGGGGGTGCCCCGGGTGGCTCTGGACCTCTGTCTGTCCCCACCCGCCTCGGTTCCACATGCATGGGAAATCAATAAAACCCTTCTGCTAGACTGTTGGGTTCGGCAGTCGGGACCCTGCAAATTAAACTGTGGGAATGAAAAAAAAATTCCTCTTCAAAGTTTTGTTTCTTAATAAATATTCATAACGCTTAGAAATAACAGTTTTAAACACATCCTTCAAAAGCCTTCTTGCCTTTTTGCTAAAAGCCCTATCCTCTGCAGCTGTGAGACCTGCCGTGCTCACAGGCACGGAGAACATTCCGTGTCCCTGGACTGTCACCGACACACCTGCGCTGGACGTGCTCACAGGCGTGTCCCCGTTCTCCGTGGCTGTCACCTGTTTAGAAACGTTTTCAGGTGTCGGCCGGTCAGGTGTGAGTTTAGATGCTGAGGTCTGGCTCCGGCCCACGGAGCTCAGACACGGCAGGAAGGACGACCCCACACGCGTCACGGATCCATGTGCGTGTTTTCCTTGGTTCATTGCGCTCTCGGGGCTCGATGGCCAGCGAGGGTCCCCTTTCTGCACGAAGTTAGCTAATTTTTGCCTTTTTAGTAAAGATGGTATTTCAACATGTTGGCCAGGCTGGTCTCGAACTCCTGACCTCATGATCTGCCCGCCTTGGCCCCCCAAAGTGCTGGGATGACGGACATGAGTCACTGTGCCTGCCCACAGCAGAAATTTAACCACGTAAAACCTCTTTTCCTCTTCGTCTTCCTCAGGTTATTTCCCAGGGTTCATCTCTGATGGGTGGGCAGGCAAGCGCTTCCGGCAGCTTCTCAGGCCTGCGCTGCACAAATGCGAACGAGGACTGGATGTCGGCGCTGTGTCCCCGGCTCTGGGATGTGCCCCTCCACCACCTCTCCATCCCAGGTGAGGGCAGCAGGGGCGGGGGCCGTTGCCCCGTGTTCCCCAGTGGAAGTGCCGGCTGTGGGAGCCATCCTGGGTGTAGGGAAATCCCACGAAGCACGCTGATGCGGACACACATATATGCACAGTGCACACGTGTGCGTATACATACACACATAGGCATGGGTGTGCACACACATATACACATGCACTCATACACACAGGTATGCACACACATGCACACGTGCACATAGGTACATGCACACATGTATGCACATGCACTCAAACACAGGTACACACATGCACACGTGCACATAGGTACATGCATAGTGTATACACATGCACACTCACACAGGCATGCACACAGGTACACACATGCACATAGGTACATGCATACGTGTATAGACATGCGCACTCACACAGGTATGCACACACATGCACACGTGCACATAGGTACATGCACACGTCTATACACATGTGCACTCACATAGGTATGCACACACATGCACATAGGTACATGCACACACGTATGCACATGCACTCACACACAAGTACAGACATGCACATAGGTACATGCATACGTGTATACACATGCACTCACACACATACACACGTGCACATACGTACATGCACACACTTATACACATGCACTCACAGGTACACACATGCACACGTACACATCGTACATGCATACATGTATACACGTGCACTCATAGGTATGCACACATGCACAAAGGTACATACACACGACTGCACATGCACTCACACACAGGTACACATGCACACGTGCACATGGTACATGCATACATGTATACACGTGCACTCACAGGCATGCACACACATGCACACATGCACATAGGTACATACACACATATACACATGCGCTCACACACAGGTATGCACACGTGCACATAGGTACACATGCACACACAGGCGCATGTGCATAGAAGAATGTACACATGAGCAGAAACGTGTACACATGTATATACACGTACATATAGGTGTGCACATATGCCCATAGGCATGAGTATCCTCACACATGCACACAAGCACACCTACATTTGCACACATGTATTCATGTACAGATGCACACACATAAGTATGCACACACATGCACACGTGCACGTAGGTACACACATGGACATACATATACAGACATGCACATAGGCATGCCCGCATGTGCTTTGCCCGCAGGGAGCCACGACACCATGACGTACTGCCTCAACAAGAAGTCACCCATTTCCCAGGAAGAGTCCCGGCTGCTGCAGCTGCTCAACAAAGCGTTCCCCTGCATCACGCGCCCCGTGGTGCTGAAATGGTCCGTCACCCAGGTAGGCGCCGTGCCCCGTGATGCTGACAAGCTCCCTGTCCCAGGTACTGTGTCAGATACTCTGATATGGTCATTACCCAGTCAGGGTCTGGGCCCCGTGATGCTGAAATCGTCCGTCACTCAGGTCAGGTCTCAGTGGGTCCCCGAGAGCTCAGGAGGCAGAGGGTGGCTGCCCATTTGCAGGGACACAGGATTAAACACAGAACCTCTGCCCACCCAGAGCCCCCTCTCAAAAGCAGAAGAGAAGGTCACCGTGTTGCTACGTTGTATTATGTTAAGTTGTTTTTGAGACGGAGTCTCGCTCTGTGGCCCAGGCTGGAGTGCAGTGGTGAGATCTCGGCTCGCTGCAACCTCCGTCTCCTGGGTTCAAGCAATTCTCCTGCCTCAGCCTCCTGAGTAGCTGGGATTACAGGCACGCGCCACCATGCCCAGCTAATTTTTTGTATTTTTAGTCGAGACCGGGTTTCAGCATGTTGACCAGGATGGTCTCGATCTCTTGACCTCGTGATCCACCCGCCTCGGCCTCCCAAAGTGCTGGGATGACAGGCTTGAGAAACCGTGCCCGGCCTGATTTTTGCATTTTTTACTGGGAGGGAGTGTCACCGTCTTGCCCAGGCTGGTCTTGAACTGCTGACCTCATGATCCACCAACCTCAGCTTCCCAAAATTCTGGGATTACAGACATGAGCCACTGCGCCTGGCCTCTTTTCCTTCTTTCATTTTTATTTGTTTATTTATTTTTGTTTTGAGATGGAGTCTCGCTCCGTTCCCCAGGCGGGAACGCAATGGCGCGATCTCAGCTCATGGCAACCTCCGCCTCCCGGGTTCAAGCGATTCTGCTGCCTCAGCCTCCTGAGTAGCTGGGATTACGGGCACGCGCCATCATGCCTGGTTTCTTTAATTTAAATTTTTTTTTTTTTTCTCAGATAGAGTTTGGGTATGTTGCCCAGGCTGGTCTCGAACTCCTGACCTCAGGTGATCCTCCAATCTCGGCCTCCCAAAGTGCTGGGATGACAGGCGTCAGCCATAGCACCCAGCCTGTTTTCGGTTTTTAAATTCCTATTTTGTGTAGAGGACATAACACCACAGTCTTTCAACTTTTTTGTTTCTTGTGGAGACGGAGTCTCACTCTGTCACCAGGCTGGAGTGCCATGGCGCCATCTCGGCTCACTGCAGCCTCCGCCTCCCGGGTTCAAGCGATCCTCCTGCCTCAGCCTCCTGAGTATCTGGAATTACAGGCATCCACCGCCACACTGGGTTATTTTTTGTATTTTTGTAGAGACGGGGTCACTTCATGTTGGCCAGGATGGTCTTGAACTCCTGACCTCGTGATCCGCCCACTTCGGCCTCCCAAAGTGCTGGGATGACAGGCCTGGCCCACCGCACCCAACCCCCCAGCACTTCAGGAGGCCGAGGCGGGCGGATCACCTGAGGTCGGGAGTTCGAGACCAGCCTGGCCAGCATGGTGAAACCCCATCACTAAGAATAAGAAAATTTAGCCCGGCACGGTGACGGGCGTCTGTATTCCCAGGTTCTCGGGAGGTTGAGGCAGGAGAATCTCTTGAACCCGGGAAGTGGAGGTTTCAGCGAGCCGAGATGGTGCCGTGGCACTCCAGCCTGGGCGACAGAGCAAGACGCTGTCTCAAGAAAGCATAAAGAAATGATTTTGCGTTTCTTCGTGCTTCTGTGTGGGGGGATACGGCCAGTTCCTTTTCCTGCATTTGTGTCTCTCTCCTGAGGTTTTCCTCGTAAAGTTTCCCACCTCCCCTACCCCCAGCGCCAACCCCACCCCCTGCACCCCCGTTCCCGCACCTTGGGAGTCCGAGGCAGATGGATCACAAGGTCAGGAGTTCAAGACCATCCCGGCCAACATGGTGAAACCCCGCCTCTACTAAAAATAAAAAATAAAAAAAAATCATGATAATTATTAGGCCGGGCGCAGTGGCTCACGCCTGTCATCCCAGCACTGTGGGAGGCCGAGGTGGGTGGACCACCTGAGGTCAGGAGTTCGAGACCAGCCTGGCCAACACAGTGAAACCCCGTCTCTATTAAAAATACAAAAATTAGCCAGGCTTGGTGGCGGGTGCCTTTAATCCCAGCTACTCGGGAGGCTGAGGCCGGAGGATCGCTCGAACCCGGAGGATGGAGGTCACGGTGAGCCGAGATCACGCCGCTGCACTCCAGCCTGGATGAGAGAGTGAAGCTGTGTCTGAAGAAAGTAAAAAAAAAAAGCAGGCCGTGGAGTTTGAGCCCCGAAGCCACGGCGAGCCGCAGGGACACGTGTCGGCCCCTCTGCCCACAGGTGCTGGACGTCACGCAGCAGCTGGACGCGGGCGTGCGGTACTTAGATCTGCGCATCGCGCACATGCTGCGCGGCTCTGAGAAGAACCTGCATTTTGTTCACATGGTCTACACCACGGCGCTGGTGGAGGTACGGCCGGGCCCGGGGGGCTCACGGGGAGCGCTCAGGAGGCGGCCGGCCTCCCGCGGGGAACGACGCGGCCGTAGGGACGGGAGGTTCGACGGTGTCAGAGGCCGGGGGACGCTGACGTGTGCTGATCTGTTAAGAGCCCTTTTATTTTTTTTGCTTTTGGAGATGGCGTCTCGCTGTGTCACCAGGCTGGAGTGCGGTGGTGTGATCTCAGCTCACTGTAACCACCTCCCGGGTTCAAGCGACTCTCCTGCCTCAGCCTCCCGAGCAGCTGGGATGACAGGCACCTGCCACCACCCCCGGCTAATTTTTGTATTTTTAGTAGAGACGGGGTTTCGCTATGTTGCCCAGGCTGGTCTCGAACTCCTGACCTCAGGTGATCCACCCACCTCGGCCTCCCGAAGTGCTGGGATAACAGGCGGGAGTCACCTCACCCGGCTTTTCCTGTTTTTCTGACACTCTGAGTGCACCTGGTCTGGTCTGAAGCATAGTTCAGTCTGGTTAGTATGCAGATGGAACATCATCTGGGAACACCCGGGTGGTTTCTCTTCTATTCTATTCCATTTTATTTTATTTTATTATATAATTTTTTATTTTATTTTATTTTATTTTAATTTTACTTTATTTTTATATTTTATTTTATTTTTTTATGATTTTATTTTATATTTTATTTTAATTTAATTTTACTTTATTTTATTTTATTTTATTATATTATGTTATATTTCATTTCATTTCATTTTATATTGAGACAGAGTCTCACGCTGTCCCCCAGGCTGGAGTGCGGTGGTGTGATCTCGGCTCACTGTAACGTCCGCCTCCCGGGCTCAAGTGATTCTCCTGCCTCAGCCTCCCAAGTTGCTGGGATTACAGGTGCCTGCCACGGAACCTAGCTAATTTTCGTATTTTTGGTAGAGATGGGGTTTCACCATGTTGATCAGGTGGGTCTCGAACTCCTGACCTCAGGTGATCCACCCACCTCAGCCTCCCAAAGTGCTGGGGTTGCAGGTGTGAGCCACCGTGCCCAGCGTACGGAGAGTTCTTGACCGATGTGAATTTCTTCATTTCTTTTTTTCTTTTTCTTTTCTATTTTTTTATTTTTAAATACGGGGTTTCACCATGACAGCCAGGCTGATCTTGAACTCCTGACCTCAGGTGATCCACCCACCTCAGCCTCTCAAAGTGCTGGGATGACAGGCATGAGCCACCTCACCCAGCTTTTTCTTTCTATTTTTTTTGAGACGGAGTCTTGCTCTGCCGCCCAGGCTGGAGTGCGTGGAACTGTCTCTGCTCACTTCAGCCTCCAGTTCCCGGGTTCAAGCAATTCTTCTGCCTCAGCCTTCAGAGTAGCTGGGATTACAGGTGCCCAGCATCACGCCGGGGTAATTTTTGTATTTTGTATTTTTTTTTTTTTTTTTTTGAGACGGAGTTTCGCTCTTGTTACCCAGGCTGGACTGCAATGGCGCGATCTCGGCTCACCGCAACCTCCGCCTCCTGGGCTTCAGGCAATTCTCCTGCCTCAGCCTCCTGAGTAGCTGGGATTACAGGCACGCGCCACCATGCCCAGCTAATTTTTGTATTTTTAGTAGAGACGGGGTTTCACCATGTTGACCAGGATGGTCTCGATCTCTCGACCTCGTGATCCACTGGCCTCGGCCTCCCAAAGTGCTGGGATGACAGGCTTGAGCCACCGCGCCCGGCAATTTTTGTATTTTTAATAGAGATGGGGTTTCACCATATTGGCCAGGCGGGTCTCGAACTCCTGACCTCAAGCGATCTGCCTGCTTGAGGTAGATCGGCCTCCCGATGTGCTGGGGTGATCAGGCGTGAGCCCCCGTGCCCGGCCCTCTTGGTCTTTTGGAGAACAGAGTCACTTATCTTCCTGACCCCCATCCAGGCTTTTTTCCATGTGTCCTGTTCCCGGCTGCCAGAGGGGCTTCTAAAATCTGAACGTGAGGAGTCAGCGTCCTAAGGCCTGCCTGTGGCTCGCTGTGACGCCACAGCAGGCACCCGGAGGCCGCGGGGTGCAAAGGCGTCGTCCCCACCGCACCCCCCTCGCTTACCCTGCACCTGCTGTATCTGACCCATTCCCTGGAGTTCCCAGACGTCACACGTCTGCGTGGGAAGTGGGTTCTGGTTGAGGTGTGCACAGACACATGGACACGTGTGCAGAAACACAGACACGCCTGCACACACACACACGTGCATATAGACAGGTGTGTGCGCAGAGGCACAGGCATGAAGACTGGCACACACGTGCACACAGAATCGGGCAGAGAGACCAGGAGCTCAGGCTCACGCCTGTCAGCGCCAGCATTTTGGGAGGCCGAGGCGGGTGGATCCCCTGAGGTCAGGAGTTCGAGACCAGCCTGGCCAAGATGGCAAAACCAGTCTCCACTAAAAATACAAAAATTAGTCGGGCGTGATGGCGGGCGCCGGTAGTCCCAGCTCCTTGGGAGGCTGGGACAGGAGAATCGTTTGAACCTGCCGAGATCACGCCACTGCGCTCCAGCCTGGGTGACAGAGCCAGACTCCATCTCAAAAAAAAATGTGCAGGCCGGGCGCGGTGGCTCACGCCTGTCATCCCAGCACTTTGGGAGGCCGAGGCGGGTGGATCACAAGGTCGAGAGATCGAGACCATCCTGGTCCACATGGTGAAACCCCGTCTCTACTAAAAATACAAAAAATTAGCTGGGCACTGGTGGCGCGTGCCTGTAATCCCAGCTACTCAGGAGGCTGAGGCAGGAGAATTGCCTGAACCCAGGAGGTGGAGGTTGCAGTGAGCAGAGATCGCGCCATTGCACTCCAGCCTGGGTAACGAGAGCGAAACTCCGTCTCAAAAAAAAAAAAAATGTGCAAAGACACCCACACAGACACACACGTATCTGTGCACACACACATACATGCACACGTGTACACACATGCACACGCTGGCTTTTTCTGAGACAGGGCCTTGCTCTTTTGCCCAGGCTGGTGTCATGGTAGCTCCCTGCAGCCTCTGCTTCCTGGGCTGAAGCCACCCTCCTGCCTCCGCCTCCTGAGGAGCTGGGGCTGCAGGCACACACCACCACACTGCGTTCATTTTCAAGGTTTTTGTAGAGATGGGCTCTTGCCGTGTTGGCCAGGCTGGTCTTGAACTCCTGACCTCAGGGGATCCGCCTGCCTCGGCCTCCCAAAGCGATGGGGTGACGGGAGTGACCCATGGAGCCCGGCCTACCCCTGAGCTGTGGGACTCACGCAGGACTCCGCCCCGCACCCTCCGTCCCCCCAGGACACGCTCACGGAGATCTCAGAGTGGCTGGAGCGGCACCCTCGTGAGGTCGTCATCCTGGCCTGCAGGAATTTCGAGGGGCTGACCGAGGACCTTCACGAGTACCTGATCTCCTGCATCAAGACCATCTTTGGGGACATGCTGTGTCCCCGCGGGGTGAGTGACGAGGGACGGGGGACGGCCACAGGTCTCGCCCAGGGCTGGGGGATCCTCCCCCTCCCCCTGCATTTGCTCACCTGGAACCCCCAGGCGTGGCTGCTGCTGTGACCCCTGCAGCACGTGGAGTTTGGAACAGCAGCATCTCCCGGCTCTCCTGCAGGCCGACCGGAAGCTGGGGGGTGGCTCCTGGTGACAACCGCGTCCCGTGATGGGTTTAGAAATCTGCGTAGCAGAGCCGGACGCGGGGGCTCACACCTGCCATCCAGCACTCTGGGAGGCCGATGGGGTGGGCGGATCGCAAGGTCAGGAGTTCGAGACCAGCCTGGTCAACACCGTGAAACCCTGTCTCTTAAAAATACAAAAATCGGCCAGATGTGGTGGTGGATGCCTGTCATCCCAGGTACTTGGGAGGCTGAGGCAGAAGGATCGCTTGAACCCGGGAGGTGGAGGCTGCGGCGAGCGGAGATCGCACCACTGCACTCCAGCCTGGGCGACACGAGCGAGACTCTGTCTTAAAAAGGATCCGTCAGCAGCATCTTCCTGGCTCCGGGAGCTCCCCATCACGGTCTGTGTTTTTTTTACCGCGGCGACACGCACCTGGGAGCCCACAAACCAGCCTCAGAAGGGCCGAGACATGAGCCCAGCAGCCCCCGCTCTGCAGGCTGCAGGCCACGGTCAAGGCTTCCTGAAGGTACCCAGAGAGGGTGCCCCGGACTCTCACACAGGTCTGTTCCCCCAACCCCCTTGTAAAAAGTTTCCTAGATTTTTCAAATTTTTATTTGTTGATTTAATTTTATACGTATTTTTTGAGATGGCGTTTATGTCTGTCGCCCGGGCTGGAGTGCAGTGGTGCGATCTCAGCTCACCGTGACCTCCGCCTCCCGGGTTCAAGCGATCCTCCGGCCTCAGCCTCCTGAGTAGCTGGGACGACAGGCACCCACCACTATGCTGGGCTTTTTTTTTTTTTTGCATTTTCAGGAGAGACGCCGTTTCACCGCATAGGTCAGGCTGGTCCGGAGCTCCTGACCTCAAATGATGCACCTGCCGTGGCCTCCCAAAGTGCTGGGATTACGGCTGTGAGCCGCTGCACCTGACCACAGCTTCTTTTATACATTTTAGGGGGACAGAAGACGTCGATTAATACATGTAGGAAGTGCATGGGTTCGGTCTGGAAGGGCAGGACACCTGCCTCAAAGTGCGCTGCTCCAGGTCACAGGGAGATTTGAACATGCTCTGATCGATTGGCAGTCGGTTGAAAGAGTTATTATCTATAGATAGGAATGTCTGGGGCTGAGTGCCGTGGCTTACATCTGTCATCCCAGCACTTTGGGAGGCCGAACGAGGGCAGATCAGAAGGTCAGGAGTTCGAGACCAGCCTGGCTAACACGGTGAAAACCCATCTCTACAAAAATACAAGAAATGAGCCGGGCGTGGTGGCGGGCGCCTCTGTTCCCAGCGACTTGCGAGGCGGAGGCAGGAGAATCGCTTGAACCCGGGAGGCGGAGGTTGCAGTGAGCCGAGATCTCACCAGTGGACTGCAGAGTAAAAGGCAAGAGTGAGACTCCTGCAAAAAAAAAAAAAAAAAAAAAGGATAAAGGAACATCGTGTTTTTTTGTTTTGTTTTTTGTTTTTTTCTGAGACAGAGTTTCAGTCTCGTCACCCTGGCTGGGGTGCAATGGCGTGATCCCAGCTCACCACAGCCTCCATCTCCTGGGTTCAAGCGACTCTCCTGCCTCTGCCTCCTGAGTAGCTGGGACTACGGACGCCCCCCACTATGCCCCGCTAACATTTTGTATTTTTAGTCGAGACGGGGATTCTCCATGATGGTCAGGCAGGTCTCGAACTCTCGACCTCCGGTGACCCGCCCGTCTCTGCCTCCCAAAGTGCTGGGGTGACAGGCGTGAGTCAGACCACGCCCAGCCTCACAGCACGGTTTTATCCAGGTAGCCGGCTTCAGAGAGGACAGATGGGAAAGGTTTCTTTTTTTTTTTGAGACGGAGTTTCGCTCCTGTTACCCAGGCTGGAGTGCAATGGCGCGATCTCGGCTCACCGCAACCTCCGCCTCCTGGGTTCAGGCAATTCTCCTGCCTCAGCCTCCCGAGTAGCTGGGATTACAGGCACGCACCACCATGCCCAGCTAATTTTTGTATTTTTAGTAGAGACGGGGTTTCACTATATTGACCAGGACGGTCTTGATCTCTTGACCTCGTGATCTACCCGCCTCAGCCTCTCAAAGTGCTGGGATGACAGGCGTGAGCCACTGCGCCTGGCCGGGAAACGTGTCTGATCGGGCTTCAGGTCTGTGTTGACGTGACGGCTGCTGTTCATGTAATGTGCTTGCTGGACGTCCAGACTGACGCTCGGCCCCGACCCCACTTCCCACCATGGAGGGCACCGGTGTTTCAGGCCATACAGTGCCCTGGTCAAGGAGACGCTCCATTCCGCTGGTTGGGGAGCCTTTGAATTTTAATTTTGGTTCACAGGTTCTGCAGATCATGCAAAAGGTAGATTAAAGAGACCAACACAGGCCATGTGCGGTGGCTCACGCCTGTCATCCCAGCACTTTGGGAGGCCGAGGCGGGCGGATCACAAGAGGTCCGGAGTTCGAGACCAGCCTGGCCAAGATGACAAAACGCCATCTCTACTAAAAACACAAAAATCAGCCGGGCGTGGTGTTGGGTGCCTGTAATCCCAGGTACTCGGGAGGCTGAGGCAGGAGAATCGATTGAACCCGGGAGGTGGAGGTTGTAGTGAGACGAGATCCCCAGATCACTCTTCCCGAGCATTTGAGCCAGGATCAGAGTCTCGCTCTGTCGCTGAGGCTGGAGTGCAGTGGTGCGACCTCGGCTCACCGCAGCCTCCGTCTCCCGGGTTCAAGCGATTCTCCTGCCTCAGCCTCCCGAGTAGCTGGCATGACAGGCGCCCACCACCATGCCTGGCTGATTTTTGTATTTTTAGTAGAGACGGGGTTTCACCATGTTGGTCAGGATGGTCTTGAACTCCTGACCTTGTGATCTGCCCTCCTTGGCCTCCCAAAGTGCTGGGATGACAGACGTCAGCCACTACGCCCGGCTAATTTTGTATTTTTTTTTTTTTAAGATGGGGTTTCATCCTGATGGCCAGGCTGGTCTTGAACTCCTGACCCCAGGTGATCCACCCACCTTGGCCTCCCAAAGTGCTGGGATTACAGGCCTGAGCCACCACGCCTGTCCTAGTTTTGTATTTAGTAGAGATGGGGTCTCACCATGTTGGCCAGGCTGGTCTCCAACCGCCGACCTCAGGTGAACCACCTGCCTTGGCCTCCCAAAGTACAGGGATTACGGGCGTGAGCCACTGCACCTGGCCTAATTTTGTGTTTTTTTAAAAATTTTTATTTTAAAAGACGGGGTCTCACCATGTTGGCCAGGCTGGTCTCGAACCCCCAACCTCAGGTGATCCAGCCGCCTCGGCCTCCCAAAGTACAGGGATTATGGGCCTGAGCCACTGCACCTGGCCTATTTTTGTATTTTTTAAAAAATTTTTATTTTAAAAGACGGGGTTTCACCATGTTGGCCAGGCTGGTCTCGAACCACCGACCTCAGGTGATCCAGCTGCCTCAGCCTCCCAAAGTACAGGGATTACGGGCATGAGCCACTGCACATGACTTAATTTTGTATTTTTTTTTAAATTTTTATTTTAAAAGACAGAGTTTCACCATAGTGGCCAGGCTGGTCTCGAACCCCTGACCTCAGGTGATCCACCCGCCTCGGCCTCCCAAAGTGCTGGATGAAAGGCGGGAGCCACAGCGCCCTGCTAGAATTTCATGCGTGGCTTATCACACACGTGTCGGGCCCTCCTCCCGCCACGGCGCCCCGACTTCCTGGCCCTCCTGTGTCCCGGGCGTCCCGACATCCCCGGTTTTCCTCTCTCCCGTGCACGTCTGAACCCTGGCTCTTTGCAGGAGGCCGCAACGCTGAGGCAGCTGTGGGCACGGGGCCAGCAGGCCATCGTGTCCTATGACCACGAGCGCTCCCTGGCCCGGCACCGGGAGCTCTGGCCGGGAATCCCCTACTGGTGGGGGAACAAGGTGAAGACGGACGCCCTCATCCGGTACCTGGAGACCATGAAGAGCTGCGGCCGCCCAGGTACGAGGCCACGTCCCGTGGGGGTGGCGTCCACGCAGCCACGCGTGACACCCTGCTTCAGGCTGGGTACACGGACTGGCCTTCGCCTCTACGTGAAAACAATTTAAAAGTAACCGAGGCCGGGCGCCGTGGCTCACGCCCGTCATCCTAGAACTTTGGTAGGCCGAGGTGGGCGGATGTCAAGGTCAGGAGTTCGAGACCAGCCTGGCCAACACGGTGAAAAAAAAAAAAAATGAGCCAGGCGTGGTGGCGGGTGCCTGTCACCCCAGCTACTCAGAAGCCTGAGACACAAGAATCACTTGACTCTCATTGGCCAGGCTGGAATGCAAGGCCACAGTCTCAGCTCACTGCAGCCTCCGCCGCCCGGGTTCAGGCGCTTCAGTTCTCCTGCCTCAGCCTCCCGAGCAGCTGGGATGACAGGCACGGGCCACCACGCCCAGCTAATTTTCTGTGTTTTTACCAGAGACGGGGTTTCGCCGTGTTGGTCAGGCTGGTCTCGAACTCCTGACCTCAGGTGATCCGCCCGCCTCGGCCTCCCAAGGGGCTGGGATTACGGGGGTGAGCCACCGCGCCCGGCCTAGAAATAAGTCTTAAAAGGCACTGAGAGGCCTTGGCCGTAACCTTCTGCTGACTTTGCTGTGTTCTGGGGTTGGAGTGAGCTCCGCTGGCCGGCACGGGCGCCCGGGAACCCACGTACCCCTGGGGGACCTCCATCAAGCACAGCCTGCAGCCCCCCTCACCCTGCCCCCAACGAGATTCTGGCTCAGCAGATCTAAGTGGACCCTCCAAACGTGCATTTCTAATGACGCAGGGACCCCATTTTCACAATCACTGGTCAGCGTCAGCCCTTTCTGTAAGCCTCGTAACAAATGGCCCAGAATTCCGGCCTAACACAACAGCGTTTTTCTCTGTCTCCCACATAGAGATTAGCATGTGGGCATCTTTGGGGCCGTTATTCTGTCTCCCACGTGGGGATCAGGACGTGGACATCTTTGGGGCCGTTATTCTGTCTCCCACATGGGATCAGGACGTGGACATCTTTGGGGCCATTATTCTGTCTCCCACGTAGAGATTAGCATGTGGGCATCTTTGGGGCCATTATTCCTGAGATCTGAACGTCTGACCGTGTGAACAGGAGGGGTAAACGGGCGGGCGGAGGCCGGTGGCCGTGTGACGTCTCTACCACCTGACTGTTCCAGGAGGGCTGTTTGTGGCCGGCATCAACCTCACTGAGAACCTGCCGTACGTCCTGGCGCACCCGTCTGAGTCCCTGGAGAAGATGACGACCCCCAACCTGCCGTGCCTGCGGGCGTGGGTCCGGGAGCAGTGCCCGGGGCCGGGGACCCGCTGCACCAACATTATCGCGGGAGACTTCGTCGGCGACGACAGCTTCGTCAGCGACGTCATCGCACTGAACCGGAAGCTGCTGTGATGCTGACGGGGACCCTTCTGAAGTCCGGGACGCCGCGGCTGCAGGTTCACCCCCGATGTCCCAAGTATTGTGCCTTATGTGTGGGTCAGATACTGGTGATCAGGGGACCCATCCTGCGCGTTCGCTTTCTTTTTGTTAAGAAATAGGAATGGGATCTTGCTGTGCTGGCCAGGCTGGTCTGAATGGGGTCTCGCTGTGCTGGCCAGGCTGGTCTGAATGGGGTCTCGCTGTGCTGGCCAGGCTGGTCTGAATGGGGTCTCGCTGTGCTGGCCAGGCTGGTCTGAATGGGGTCTCGCTGTGCTGGCCAGGCTGGTCCTGAATGAGGTCTTGACCTCGTAGCCTCAGGTAATCCTCGCCGCGCAGCCTCCCGAAGCGACGGGATGGCTTGTTCCTGTATTTTTCCGGCTGTGGTTGTCTGTACCCCTCACAGACCCCGGGAAAGACCTCCCGCCCACAAGTCAGTAATTCCTCGACACAGTAACAAGCCCGCTGGGCGCTCCCCCGTGCCAGCCAGCAGCCCCCTTGGCGAGCTCCCACACTGCAAGCCAGTATTTCTTTTTTTGACACAGAGTCTCGCTCTGTCGCCCGGGCTGGAGTGCCGTGGCGCGACCTCGGCTCGCCGCAACCCCCGCGTCCCGGGTTCAAGCGATTCTCCTGCCTCCGCCTCCCGAGTAGCTGCGACGACAGGTGCCCACCCCCACCCCCAGCAAGATTTTTTGTAATTTTGATAAGAGACGGGGTTTTGGCCGGGCGCGGTGGCTCAAGCCTGTCACCCCAGCACTTTGGGAGGCCGAGGCGGGTGGATCACGAGGTCGAGAGATCGAGACCATCCTGGTCAACATGGTGAAACCCCGTCTCTACTAAAAATACAAAAAATTAGCTGGGCACAGTGGGGCGTGCCTGTAATCCCAGCTACTCAGGAGGCTGAGGCCGGAGAATTGCCTGAGCCCAGGAGGCGGAGGTTGCGGTGAGCCGAGATCGCGCCATTGCACTCCAGCCTGGGCAACAAGAGCGAAACTCCGTCTCAAAAAAAAAAAAAAAAAGAGACGGGGTTTCACCGTGTTGCAGAGTCGGGTTTCCGATTCCTGGGCTCTGGGGATCCTGCTGTCTTATCTTCCAGAGTAGCTGGGACCGCAGGCGGGCACCACCACGCCCGTTTATTTTTCTGTACAGACATGGTGTCCAGGCTGGTCCCAAACTCTTCAGCTCAGCTCATCGTCAACCTCCCACGTAAGCTGGGACCTCAGCCGTCAGCCACCTCGCCCAGGTAACTGTTTTTTTTTTTTTTTTTTTTGTAGAAATGGGGTCTGGGTCTGTTGCTCAGGCTGGAGTGCCGTGACCGTCCCAGGCCCGTGAAACCTTCAACTCCCGGGCTCAAGCAGTCCCCCCGCCTCAGCTTCCCAAGTAGCTGGGACTGTAGGGTTCAACCACCATGCCCAGGTCATTATGATGATTATGACTGAGACGGAGTCTTGTCCTGTTGCCCAGGCTGGAGCCCACAGGTGCAATCTCGGCTCACTGCAACCCCCGCCTGCTCGGTTCAAGCGGTTTTTGTGCGTTAGCCTCCCAAGCGGCCGGGATTACAGGTGCGTGCCACCACGCCTGGAGTACTCTGTTTCTGGTAGAGATGGCGTGTTTTTTTTTTTTTTTTTTTTTGAGACGGAATTTCGCTCTCGTTACCGAGGCTGGAGTGCAATGGCGCGATCTCGGCTCACCGCAACCTCCGCCTCCTGGGTTCAGGCAACTCTCCTGCCTCAGCCTCCCGAGTAGCTGAGATTACAGGCATGCACCACCATGCCCAGCTAGTTGTTTTGTATTTTTAGTAGAGACGGGGTTTCACCATGTTGACCAGGATGGTCTCGATCTCTTGACCTCGTGATCCACCCGCCTCGGCCTCCCAAAGTGCTGGGATGACAGGTGTGGGCCACCGCACCCGGCTGAGATGGCGTTTCTTTTTAAAATTTATTGATTTACTTTTCAGACGGAGTCTTGCTCCGTCGCCCAGGCTGGAGTGCAATGGCGTCATCTCCACTGACAGCCTCCGCCTTCCGGGTTCAAGCAATTCTCCTGCCTCAGGAGTAGCTGTAATCACAGGTGCCCGCCACCACGCCCAGCTGATTTTTTTTTGTATTTTTAATAGACACGAGATTTCACTATGTTGGCCAGGCTGGTCTCGAACTCCTGACCTTGTGATCCACCTGCCTCGGCCTCCCAAAGTGCTGGGATTACAAGCGCGAGCCACCGCGCCCGGTGAGACGGGGTTTCACCACGTTGCCCCGGCTGGTGTCGAACTCCGGACCTCAAGTGATCTGCCCGCCTCGGCCTCCCAAAGTGCTGGGGTGACGGGTGTGAGATTCCGCACCCGGCCTATACCTCATTTTCTACCTGTCACGTGTGGGACCTGCTGGCTCAAGGCCTCAGGCAGTCACTGGGTGCCCGCCGCCATTTTTATGCCCGCTTCCCGAGGCAGTGTGGCGTTTCTTTCACGGTGTAACCACAGACATCAGAGTTTCTCAGGGTGGACTTCACCACGGTGATTTACTATGTTGGAATAAGTTTTCTTTGGGACCTCGTGATTCATTTTCCAAAAGAAATCCCGCTTTTATTTTTGCTACCTAGTCGCCACGGAGTAACGGTGTCCAAAATGTAGAAAGAGACACACGTGGCCAGCCGTGGTGGCTCACGTGGGTCATCACGGCACTTTCGGTGGCCGAGGCGGGCGGATCACCTGAGGTCGGGAGTTCGATACCAGCCTGAGCAACACAGTGAAACCCCCGTCTCTACTAAAATATACAAAAAAATGAGCCGGGTGTGGTGGCGGGCGCCTGTGATCCCAGCTACTCGGGAGGCTGAGGCAGGAGAATCGCTCCAACCCGGGAGGCCCGGGTTGCAGTGAGTTGAGATCGCGCCATTGGACTCCAGCCTGGACAACAAGAGTAAAACTCGTTTTAAAAAATAAAAGCACACACAGAGAAAGACGCACGTACCCGTGGCCACCTCACCGCACGATCAGGCCCCGCAGAGATGAAGTTACAGGCGATTTCCGCGTCTTCCATTGCCTCTGAATCTGTGTCCTGAAACGGTGGGGTCTCTGTGGGCAGCTCTTCCACACAGTCACGGAATTCACACACGTCATTTAAATAAATGAACGCGATTAAAGTCAAACGTGTGTACGGATTTTATTGCCACGTACGCAGCCACGGAAGATCTGGTTTTCAGGACAGGACGCAGGAGGCATGTTTAGAAAACGTTCCTTCAGGCCGGGCACAGAGGCTCGTCCCTGTGATCCCAGCACTTTGGGAGGCTGAGGTCAGGAGTTCGAGGCCAGCATGATCAACATGGTGAAACCCCATCTTTACTAAAAATACAAAAAAAATGATCCGGGCGTGGTGGTGGGAGCCTGTCATCCCAGCTACTCGGGAGGCTGAGGCAGGAGGATCGCTTGAACCCGGGAGGTGGAGGCTGCAGTGAGGTGAGATCATAGCACTGCATTCCAGCCTGGGAGATGGAACGAGACTCCGTCAAAAAATAATAATAATAATAATACTTTATTCATTGGGAATCTTTTTCAGGTCATGGAGCTTTTTAAAAAATTTAGTTGTGAGGCTCGGCGCACTGGCTCACACCTGTCATCCCAGCACTTTGGGAGGCCGAGGCGGGCGGATCACCTGAGGTCAGGAGATCGAGAGCAGCCTGGCTAACATGGTGAAACCCCGTCTCTACTCTAACTACAAAAATTAGCCGTGCGTGCTGGTGGGCACCTGTCATCCCAGCTACTTGGGAGGCTGAGGCAGGAGGATCGCTTGAACCCGGGAGGCGGAGGCTGCAGTGAGCCAAGATGGCACCACCGCACCTCAGCCTGGGTAACACAGAGCCTGCCTCAAGACAAAAGAAAACAAGGCCGGGCGCGGTGGCTCACGCCTGTAATCCCAGCACTTTGGGAGGCCGAGGCGGGCGGATCACGAGGTCAAGAGATCGAGACCATCCTGGTCCACATGGTGAAACCCCGTCTCTACTAAAAAATCCAAAAAAATTAGCTGGGCGTGGCGGCGCGTGCCTGTAATCCCAGCTACTCAGGAGGCTGAGGCAGGAGAATTGCCTGAACCCAGGAGGCAGAAGTTGCGGTGAGCCGAGATCGCGCCATTGCACTCCAGCCTGGGTCACAAGAGCGAAACTCCGTCTCAAAAAAAAAAAAAAACAAGTGAGGCTTTTTGTTTTCCTGTGGGTGGAGACGGGTGTGCAGCCTGGCCACGCAGGGTCTTGCCACGTTGGGCAGGTGGGTCCATACGGCCTGGCCTCACGCAGGTGAGACTCTCTCTGTGCGACACACGGACGTCACGGTCTGGTTTGAGGCGTCTTCATTAATAGAACTGTTTTCTTTCCCCTCTGCTTTTGTGGATGGGTTCTCTGGGCTGCCGGGGCGAGGGTGGGGGTGGGGGGGCTGGTTTTTAGTCATTTAACCAGCACGGCCATGGGCCACGAGGCCCGCCTGTGAACACAGATAGCCGGGCGGAGGGGCCACGTCCGCCCACCAGGGCCACGGCTCACAGCAGACACAGGAGAGGCCACAGATGCTGCTCACGGAGGCAGACACACAGGTTCACGTGCTTGCCGGAACATTCTGAGGGAGAGTAGTTCACGGCCGGCACTGGGGGCCCAGTGGCATCGTGTGGCGTGGACTCCGGGGTGGCCCGCTTCGGAGCAGCCGTGACCATGCCACCAGCCTCCGTGGTCATCACAGCAAGCGCCTGGGACACAGAGCCTGACGGAGGGGACCCCACTGTCCTGACACAGCCATGCCACCGCACCCCCGGCCCCCAGGGGCGTCCGCTCATCCTGGAAACAGCTTCCGGAATTTGCCGTAGGCCGAGTGGCTGATGACGACCCGGACGTCGGCCTCTCCATCCTCGGGGATCACGTGCACCTGCTGGACGGTGGCCTCCTCATGTAGCCAGCTGGGGACCGAGGCGCGTCGCGTGGAAAAGCAGAACCCGTGAGCGTTCGGTGAGTTTCACGATACATAATTAGGCTAAAGAGAGCCTGGCCCAGGCCGGGCGCGGTGGCTCACGCCCGTCATCCCAGCCCTCTGGGAGGCCCAGGCGGGCGGATCACGAGGTCGGGAGTTCGAGACCAGCCTGGTCAATGTGGTGAAACCCCGTCTCTACTAAAAATACAATTAGCCGGGCGTGGTGGCGGGCGCCTGTCCTCCCAGCTACTCGGGAGGCTGAGGCAGGAGGATCGCTTGAACCCGGGAGGCGGAGGCTGCAGTGAGCCGAGATCGCGCCACTGCACTCCAGCCTGGGTGACAGAGTGAGACTCATTGATCAGAGCTTTCAGTCGCCCAGGCTGCAGTGCCGTGTTGAGACCTCAGCTCACTACAGCCTCCACGTCCCGGGTTCAAAGGATCCTCCTGCCTCAGCCTCCCGAGGAGCTGGGATCACAGGCGCCCGCCACCAGGCCCGGCTGATTTTCGTATTGTCAGTAGAGACGGGGTTTCACCCTGTGGGCCAGGCTGGTCTTGAACTCCCGACCTCAGGTTTTCCGCCCGCGTTGGGTTCCCAAAGCCTTTGGATGACAGGCGTGAGCCGCCGCGTCCGCTGGAGCGTGCTTGCTTCTTGGTAGGGAGTCCTATAGCGTTTGAGTGTCTCTGAGCACAGATTAGGCGCCCGTTGTATGCACCCCGACTGCCCAGTGCACATTCGGAAACGTCTCGCCTCATCTCGGTATCCTAAAGCCCTCGGGGTCCCCACAACTCCTTCTGTACCCCCGAAGGAGCCCCCTTCTGAGCCAGAGACAGGCCGCCAGAACACGGTCCCCTCTCCCGCCCCGGGAGGCCGCCGCTCACCTGAGCTGGGCCCCGGCCAGCCGGACACGGAGGGTGAGGACCTGTCTCCCCGTGGCCTTCAGCACCGCCGCGTCGAGCTCAGCCTTCAGCTCCTGGAGCCCGTGCCCCAGCAGGGCAGACACGGGCACCACGTTCGGTCCCGTGGGGTGGTACCTGCGGGCGCGGGGAGACCACAGAGCCCGCTCAGCCTCGGGGCTGCAGGCCGGCACAGAGCAGGGGTCCCGGGGTCAGCCGCCCGCGGGGCACACCCTGGGGCAGAAACGTCTGTGTCCTGGGTCCCAGCAGTTGCCCCTGCCTCAGGCTGCGTGCCCGCGGCCCGCCGTTCGCACGAGGGCAGGGGAGGGCGTCGGACTCACCCGGGCACCAGGTCCACCTTGTTGTGAACCTCCAGCATGGAGTCCAGGAGCGGGGCGGGCAGCCGCAGGCCGCGCAGGGTGGACACCACGCTGGCCTTCTGGAGCTCCGCCTCGGGGTGGCTGACGTCCCGGACGTGCAGGATCAGATCCTACAGGGGCCGGGAGTGCGGTCAGAGCCCCGACCCCCCACGCTCTGTCGCCCAGGCTGGAGTGTGACGGCGTGATCTCCGCTCACTGCAACCTCTGCTTCCCGGGTTGCAGCCCTTCTCCTGCCTCAACCTCCCCGATAGGTGGGATGACAGGCGCCCACCGCCACGCCTGGCCAATTTCTGTATTTTTAGCAGAGGCGACGTTTCACCGTGTTGGCCAGGCTGGTCTCGAACCCCTGACCTCAAGTGATCCACCCCCCTCAGCCTCCCAAAATGCTTTGATGAGAGGCGTGACCCACCGTGCCTGGCCCTGACTGTTTGTACACGGGCTCCTCAGGGTGGCTGAGTGAGGGTGAGGCTGGGGCCACTGCTCAGCCTCTGCCTTCGGGGACAAGGGACGCTTGGGGGACCCTAACTCGCGGGCTGAGGAAGCAGCTGTGATTCTGGCCCGAGTGGCGAGGGTGTCCCAGAGCCTGGCCCCTGGTCCGAGTGGGCATCTGAGGGCCGCCACTTGGTCCAAGGGCGTCCGAGACCCCGGCCCCTGCCTCGGTGGGCGTCCGAGACCCCGGCCCCTGCCTCGGTGGGCGTCCGAGACCCCGGCCCCTGCCTCGGTGGGCGTCCGAGACCCCGGCCCCTGCCTCGGTGGGCGTCCGAGACCCCGGCCCCTGCCTCGGTGGGCGTCCGAGACCCCGGCCCCTGCCTCGGTGTGTTTCCGAGACCCCGGCCCCTGCCTCGGTGGGCGTCGGAGACCCCGGCCCCTGCCTCGGTGGGCGTCGGAGACCCCGGCCCCTGCCTCGGTGGGCGTCCGAGACCCCGGCCCCTGCCTCGGTGGGTGTCAGAGACCCTGGCCCCTGTCCCGGTGGGCGTCCGAGACCCCGGTCTGTCTCAGTGGGTTTGTGAGACCCCGGCCTCTATCTCAGTGGGTGTACTAGACCCTGGCCCCTGCCTCCGTGGGTGTCCGAGACCCCGGCCCCTGTCTCGGTGGGTGTCCGAGACCCCGGCCCCTGCCTCGGTGGGTGTCGGAGACCCCGGCCTGTCTCGGTGGGTGTCTCAGAGCCCAGCCCCCCTGCAGCCCCGACTCACCGAGTGGGCCACGTCTTCCAGGGTGGCGGAGAAGGACTCGATGAGGCCGTGTGGCAGCTGGGACAAGAACCCGATGGTGTCCACGTACAGGACGGTCAGGCGTGAGGGCAGCGTGCCCGCGTGGGCCGTGACGTCCAGCGTGGCAAACAGCTGGTCCCGTGGTTGCAGGGCGGTGTCTCCCGTCAGCGCCTTGATCAGCGTGGTCTTCCCTGGGGGGGCGTGCAGGTCAGGGGTGCAGGGAGCCGTGGTTCCAACCCCTGGAGTCACCCCCTCTCAGGCGGGGTGCCACAGCACCCTCTCGGGCAGCTGCACCCCAGGTGGCAGGTCCCTGAGCTCCCCGGGCGCCCCTGGGCCACACACGACATGCAGGACTAAGCCACGGAGGCTGCTGTCAGGCCCGATGCAGCAGGGCCGCCGTGTAGACACAGGAGAGCTGGTGGTGTAGACGGGCGAGCGTGAGATGGTGTGGATGGGAAGACGGTGGAGATCAGGCATCCCCAAACTGCGGCCCGCGGGCCGCATGCGGCCCCCCTGAGGCCATTTATCCGGCCCCCCGCCGCACTTCAGGAAGGGGCACCTCTTTCATTGGTGGTCAGTGAGAGGAGCACAGTGTGTGGCGGCCCTCCAACGGTCCGAGGGACAGTGAACCGGCCCCCTGTGTAAAAGGTCTGGGGACGCCTGGTGTAGATGGAGGGAGGTGGTGTTGTGGAAAAGTGAGTGTGTGGACGGGAGGTTGGGGTACATGGTATTGTCCCCAACTGCTGTACCCACCATGGGGACCATGGGACCCCCTTACCACAGCTGGTGTACCCCACAGAAACCATGGAACCCCTCCTCTGGGCACACGGTCACTTCAGCTCGTGTACCTCAGTAAGAGACCACGGGACCCCATCCCCGGGGTGCACGCTCACTGCAGTTGGTGTACCACACCATGGAGACCACGGGACCTCCTCCCCTGGACACGTCCTCACCACTGTTGGTGTATCCCACCACGGAGACCACGGAACCCCCTCCCCTGGACACGTCCTCACCACAGTTGGTGTACTCCACCATGGAGACTATGGAACCCCCAACCCTGGACACGTCCTCACCACAGAGACCACAGAACCCCCTCTCCTGGACGTGTCCTCACCACAGTTGGTGTACCCCCCACGGAGACCACGGAACCCCCTCTTGTGGACATGTTCTCACCACAGTTGGTGTACCCCCCATGGAGACCACGGAACCCTCTCTCGCGGACACGTCCTCACCACAGTTGGTGCGCCCCCCCCATGGAGACCACGGAAGCCCCTCTCGTGGACACGTCCTTACCACAGTTGGTGTACCCCACCACGGAGACCACGGGGAACTCGCGCCTCGTGCGCTGCCGCCGCAGCACGTGCCTTTTCTTCCGAAGCTTGTCCAGGGCCTTCCTGATTTTGGCCTCCTTCTCTTTCAGGAGACGCTGCTGCAGCTGCATGAACGATTCTCCTAAAAACACCCAAGACGGCGGGGCGGTGAGGCAGGCCGGGAAAGGCGCGGGAGCGGGCGGTGCCACGGAGGGTCTGCGGGGCACGGGGGCTGCTCTTCCTGCCGCGTTCCCAGCAGTGGCGCCAACACTGTCCCTTTCGCTGAGAAAGGGCTGCGGTCGGCCGGGCGCGGCGGCTCACACCTGTCATCGGGCACTTTGAGGCCGAGGCGGGCGGATCACGAGGTCAGGAGTTCGAGACCAGCCTAGCCAACATGGCGAAACCCCGTCTCTACTAAAAATACAAAAATGAGCCGGGCGTGGTGGCGGCCCCTGTAGTCCCAGCTACTCGGGAGGTTGAGGCAGGAGCATCGCTTGAACCCGGGAGGCGGAGGTTTCACTGAGCTGAGATCGCAGCCCTGCGCTCCGGCCTGGGCAAGAGCCAGACTCCGTCTCAAAAAGAAAAAGGCTTAAGCTCTACGGAGGCTTCTAGGCGGGGCACAGCCGGGATGTCATCGTGAGGGGGCTCCACGGGGCCCCTCTGGCATCGAAAGTCCCAGAACCTGGGAATAGGACCTGATTTGGAAGTGGCATCTTTGTGCAACTTGAGACCTCATCCTCGGTTCGGGTTGGGCCTGAATGCAAAGGTCCGTGTCCTTCTTAAAAGGCAGACGCTCGAGTGACGTGGCCACAAGCCAGGGACCCCCAGGACCTGAGAGAGGCTAAAGGAGCCTCCGGAGGCTTCTGGTCTCCGGGATGGGCGTGCACCGATTTCTGCCGTTTCAATCCCCCGCTTTGTGGCTACTTATGTCGGCAAAACCTCGCAGGACCACCAGCATCTCCCGTCTCCTCGGACGTGACCGGGAGACGGAGCCCGCAGCCGGCCCCGACCCTGTGGGAATCCTTCAAGGCGGCTGCCGACAACCCTGTTCTCAGGGCACCCTGGGGCCCCGCGCCCGGCCACTTACCTGACCCCATGATGTAGCGGGAGCCGGATCCTCCTCGGTGAAGGTGGGCGACGTCTCTTCTCAGGTTCGACCTGGCGTGGGAGCAGGAGGGGTTCACTGTCCAGGGCAGCTCGCTCCCTCCCAGCTGAGGCCGAGGGGAAGGTGGAGGCCGCGAGCCCGGGACAGCCGGAGCCCCCAGGAGCTGGGAGCGGCAGGACGGGTCCTCCCAGAGAGCTTCTGGAGGGAACGGGGCGATTCCATTTTATTGGGTTAAACAGTGAGGCCCCAAATAGATATTGACGCCTTGTTTCCCAGGACCTGTGAGTGGGACGTTATTTAGAAATAAGGTCTGGGGCCGGGCGCGGTGGCTCAGGCCCGTCATCCCAGCACTTTGGGAGGCTGAGGCGGGTGGATCACGAGGTCGAGAGATCGAGACCAACCTGGTCAACATGGTGAAACCCCGTCTCTACTAAAAATACAAAAACATTAGCTGGGCGTGGTGGCGCGTGCCTGTCATCCCAGCTACTCAGGAGGCTGAGGCAGGAGAATGGCCTGAACCCAGGAGGCGGAGGTTGCGGTGAGCCGAGATCGCGCCATTGCACTCCAGCCTGGGTCACAAGAGAGAAACTCCGTCTCAAAAAAAAAAAAGAAATCCGGTGTCTGCCAATGTAACGGGGTAAGGATCTTGAGGTGAGGTCGCCCTGGATTAGGGAAAGTCTTAAATCCGATGACGAGTGTCCCTCCAGGAGACACAGGCGCAGACTCAGACACAGCGGAGGAGCCGACGGGGAGATGCAGGCGGACGCTGCGGTCATGTGGCCGCAAGCCAGGGACACGTGGCACCCCCGGGAGCTGGGAGAGGCAGGAAGGAGCCTTCCCTACAGCCTCCAGGGGGAAGGGGGTTCAGCTGTAGGGGATCGAACAGGAGCCCCCAGAAAGGTCGGTCCACATCCTAAGGCCCAGTACCTGGGAATGAGGGGGTCTCTGGGCAGAAGCAGCTGCTGTTGGGGTCCCACTGCGCGTGCAGCTCACGCAGGGTGAGCGAGGACTATCCCAGGCCGCAGGGCGGGGAGCGCGCACCCCCACAGTGCTTTTCTTAGTCTCATATACCCCAGAACCACCCCCTGTGAGCACAGAACGGGGGGCTGCGGGGTGGGCGTGGCGGCGGCCCGGGGCGTCCGGAGGTACCTGAGGAGCGGGATCTCCGCCAGGGCCACCTGCAGCCGGGCCTCCTTGGTGCGCGCGTTGCAGCGGAAAATGTGCAGGACCACGGTGAAGCGGTCGAACACCTCCACGCCCCAGGCGGCTTCCAGTTCTTTCTAGAGGAGGAGAGAGCGGGCCGGGCGCGGCGGCTCAGGCCTGCAGTCCCAGCGCTTTGGGGGGCCCAGGCGGCCGATCACCTGAGGTCACGAGTTCGAGACCGGCCTGGCCGAAATACCGAAATCCTGTCTCTACTAATCATATAAGAATTAGCTGGGTGTGGTCATCCCAGCTACTGGGGAGGCTGAGGCAGGAGCATCGCTTGAACCCGGGAGGCGGGGGCGGCGCTGAGCGCAGATCGTGGTGACGCTGCCCTCCAGCTTCACTGACAGAGTGAGACTCCGTCAAAAAATAAAAATAAAATACAGAAAAGGAGAGAGGAAATGAGGAGCCGGCGGGGAAGGCCGAGCCCTGGTGGCCTCACGGGGGGCACGTTCCATCACACCTTAAAGCCACTGCCACCCCATCCGGCCCCTGCCTGGCGTGACGCTCTGGCGTCCACTGCTTCACGGCGTGGAGCGTGGGAGCTCACGGGGCAAAGCCACGTTCTGGGGTACCCTGGTGGCCGGCCTCACGGGGGGCACATTCCATCACACCTTAAAGCCACTGCCACGCCATCCGGCCCCTGCCTGGCGCGACGCTCTGGCGTCCACTGCTTCACGGCGTGGAGCGTGGGAGCTCACAGGGCAAAGCCACGTTCTGGGGTACCCTGGTGGCCGGCCTCACGGGGGGCACGTTCCATCACACCTTAAAGCCACTGCCACGCCATCCGGCCCCTGCCTGGTGCGACGCTCTGGCGTCCACTGCTTCACGGCGTGGAGCGTGGGAGCTCACAGGGCAAAGCCACGTTTGGGGTACCCTGGTGGCCGGCCTCACGGGGGGCACGTTCCATCACGCCTTAAAGCCACTGCCACCCCATCCGGCCCCTGCCTGGCAGGATGCTCCGGCGTCCACTCCTTCAGCGCGCGGAGCGTGGGAGCTCACGGGGCAAAGCCACGTTCTGGGTACCTTGGTGGGGGCGGCCATCCTCTCCACATTCAGGAAGACACACGTGACGTCCGGACACCGTCGGATCCTCTCTAAAGAAAGGGCGTCGCTGTCAGCGGCCGGCCACGCGGGACCAGCCACGACGCCCTGCGGGGGGGGAGGGGTGCGCCGTGGACGGCTCAGGCCACAGACGTCGCCGACTTCCTGAGCGCCGGACCCGGGATCCGGGAAATCGGCGTCGGAGGGTCTGTCTCCAGGGGTGTGTGTTTCATGTACACACACGTGGACACGGGGAACGCATCCGCGCATAGACACACACACAGGGTGATCACATCCCAGCAGGGAGACACACGTCTCACACACACACACACGGGGAACACATCCCAGTGTGGACACACAAAGACACACACAAGGTGATCACACCCAGCAGGGACAGACACATCTCACACACACGGGGAACACATCCCAGTGGGGACACACACACAAAGACACACACACACAGAACACATCCCAACAGGGACAGACACACACAGAGAACATATCCCAGTGGGGACAGACACACACACGCAAGGTAAACACATCCCAACAGGGACACACACATCACACACACACACACACACACACACACAAGGTGATCACATCCCAGCAGGGAGACACACATCTCACACACACACACACACGGGGAAGACATCCCAGTGGGGACACACACACAAAGACACACACAAGGTGATCACACCCAGCAGGGACAGACACATCTCACACACACGGGGAACACATCCCAGTGGGGACACACACACAAAGACACACACACACAGAACACATCCCAACAGGGACAGACACACACAGAGAACATATCCCAGTGGGGACAGACACACACACGCAAGGTAAACACATCCCAACAGGGACACACACATCACACACACACACACACACACACACACAAGGTGATCACATCCCAGCAGGGAGACACACATCTCACACACACACACACACGGGGAAGACATCCCAGTGGGGACACACACACAAAGACACACACAAGGTGATCACACCCAGCAGGGACAGACACATCTCACACACACGGGGAACACATCCCAGTGGGGACACACACACAAAGACACACACACACAGAACACATCCCAACAGGGACAGACACACACAGAGAACATATCCCAGTGGGGACAGACACACACACGCAAGGTAAACACATCCCAACAGGGACACACACATCACACACATACACACACACACACACAAGGTGATCACACCCAGCAGGGAGACACACATCTCACACACACACACACACGGGGAACACATCCCAGTGTGGACACACAAAGACACACACACACAGAACACATCCCAACAGGGACAGACACACACAGAGAACATATCCCAGTGGGGACAGACACACACAAGGTAAACACATCCCAACAGGGACACACACATCTCACACAGACACACACACAGGGAACACATCCCACTGGGGACACACACACACACACAGTGGGCGATACACAGAGACGTGGTGAACACACCCAAGTGGGGACACACACACACACACACGATGGGCCAGACACAGCGACACGGTGAAGACATCCCAGCCCCGATGAGGTGCCTCTGACTCAGGCAGGGAAGCAGACTTCCACCTCGGCTAGTTAGTAGGTTAGGTAGTAGTGGTAATTAGTAGGTTAGTTAATAGTAGTAGTTACGTTGGTTAGTAGTAGTAGGTTAGTAGTAGATTAGTTACTAGTAGTAGTTACGTTGGTTAGTAGGTTGGTTAGCAGTAGTTAGTAGGTAAGTAGTAGGTTAGTAGTAGTTAGTAGGTTAGTTAGTAGTAGCAGGTTAGTAGTTAGTAGGTTGGTTAGTAGTAGTAGGTTAGTAGTAAGTTAGCAGTAGTAGTACTTAGGTTAGTTAGTAGTAGGTTAGTAGGTAAGTTGGTAGTTGGTTAGTAGTAGTTAGTAGCTAAGTTAGTAGCAGTAGTTAGGTTGGTTAGTAGTAGTAGTTTAGTTACTAGTAGATTAGTTACCAGTAGTAGGTTGGTTAGTAGTAGTAGGTTGGCTAGTAGTAGTTAGTAGGTTAGTAGGTTAGTAGTAGCAGGTTAGTAGTAGTGGTTAGTAGGTTGGTTCGTAGTCGTAGGTTAGTAGTAGTAGTAGGTTAGTATTAGCTATTAGGTTAGTAGTAGTTGTTAGGTTGGTTAGTAGTAGTAGGTTGGTTAGTAGTAGTAGTAGGTTAGTAGTAGTAGGTAAGTTGGTAGTAGTAGGTTAGTTAGTAGTAGTAGTAGGTCAGTTAGTAGTAGTAGTTAGTAGGTTAGCATTAGCTAGTAGGTTAGTAGTTAGGTTGGTTAGTAGTAGTAGGTCAGTAGTAGTAGGTAAGTTAGTAGTAGTAGTACTTAGGTTAGTAGTAGTAGTAGGTTAGTAGTAGTAGGTAAGTTGGTAGTAGTTGTTGTAGGTTAGTTAGTAGTAGTAGTAGTTAGTAGGGTCTTTCCCACCCTGCCCTGTAAGCCGGATGGTCAATTACCCGGAAGCACAAGGCCCCCGCGCTAAGACCGTGCGTGGAGCGCGGACACCGGTCCAGCCTCCCATCCCTCCGGCTCCTTCCGACCGGGGCTCCCGCTCACCGGGACCAGCCACTCACAGGGCCGCCTCCCCCAGGCCCAGCGGGACCCCCGTCCCTGCCCGCGTCAGGGGACGGGAAAGGACGTCTGCGGAAGGGGCGGGCGCGCACGGACTCACCTGTCAGCTGCTCCAAGTTCCCTTTGCCGAAGACGAGCTTCCGGTCCGGACTCTTGGTGGACACGACCATCGTCTGCACCACGGACCAGCCGTCCAGCGTGTGCACCAGCGCCGTGGCCTCTGCTACCTGCCACTCAGCTGCGGGGACACAAGGGCCACCGTCAGGGACGCTTCCTTTTGGGGCAGGCCCCGGGCCCCGTCCGCACCCGCCTGGCGTGGCCTCCTCCTGGCCTTGCCCAGAGGGCCTCTAAGTAGGCATCTTGGCCAGGGAAGGGGCGCTGGAGCCACCGCGGGACAAGAGCAACGGGGTCTCATCACCAAGACTCCGCCCACCCCAGGGGCTCCTCCCCCAAGCTCCGCCCTAGCCCTGTCATCGCATAGGCTCCTCCCCCAAAGCCAAGCCCACACTTCTACCTATGAGATCCTCCCCCTCCTCCCCATAAGCCCCGCCCTTTCACCATAAGCTCCTCCCCCGAAGCCCCGCCCATGCGCCTCCACCTATGAAATCCCTCAGAGCCCCACCCGGCGTCACCATCCATTGAGTTCCTCCTCAGAGCCCCGCCCCTTAAGAGCCACGCCCTTGCATCGCCACCCATCAGATCCTCTCTTCAGAGCCTCGCCCCCTGAAGCCCCGCCCCCTCCATAGTCTCTTCTGATCTTCCCGAGTCCCCGCCCCTGCGTCTGCACCTATGAGAGCCTTCCGTCAGAGCCCCGCCCCTCAATCTCCACCTATGAGATCGTGCCTTCAGCACCCCGCCCCTACGCCTCCACCAATGAGCTTGTCCCCAGAGCCCCGCCCCTCAATCTCCACCTATGAGATCGTGCATTCAGCGCCCCGCCCCTCCCCTGCGCCTCCACCAATGAGAGCCATCCCGCAGGGGCCCGCCCGCTGATCGGCAGCTCCTGTTTCTCCCCTGCAACCCCCGCCGCGGTCACCTCGCGTCATGTGCGGCTTCCCCGGGCCCCACTTGACATCGGGGTGGACCAGACACACGCGCTGCGTCCCCGCCGGCAGCAGAGGCTCCCTCTGCAGCAGCTCCTCCTCTGCGTCCTCGTCCGCGTCTTCCGGCTCCTCCTCGTCCTCTCCCGCGCAGCTTCGGCCGCCGTCCGCCCGCAGGCTCCGCCCTCGGCCCCATGGCCCCTCTAGATTCCCGGGGCCCCCGCGGCCGGCCGCGGAGAGACCGCGAGCGGGGCAGGATGGCGCGGGTGCCCTTGGTGCCCGGCAGCCGCGGCATACCGCGGAGAGCCGGAGCCGCGGACGTACGGCGGCCCGCAAGGCCCACATGGCGCGACGAGCGGCTGCGCGGCGGGGCGGGGCTGCCCGCGGGCCGCTCCTCGTCACGTGCTCGTGATTGGCGTGCGGCCGGGACGTCCTTCCCAGCGCCACGCCCCGGCACAGGTCGTGCTTCTCATTGGTGGTTCCGTATCACGTGCTGGTGATTGGCGCGTGTCGCGGGTGGTGGAGGCGGGGCCAAATAGCTTTTTGATTGGCGTGCGGTGGGGGCGGGCTCCCCAGCGCCACGCCCCGGCACGAATCGTGCTTCTCATTGGTGGTTCCATATCACGTGCTGGTGATTGGCGTGCGGCCGGGGCGGGCTCGCCAGTGCCACGCCCCGGGACGGGACGTGCTCCTCATTGGTCGTCCCGCGTCACGTGCTGGTGATTGGCGTGCGGACGGGGAGGCGGGGCCGAGCCGCGTTTTGTTCCGCGTGGGCCGCTCCCGGCGGACCCGGCGCCAGCTGCACTCGCTACCCCGGGGGGCTTCGGACCCGGGTCTCCACGGCGCCCACCGAGGCCTCGCTCCCTTCCCGCGCGGGGTGGGGGGGGTCCAAGTGCCACTGCACGGTCCCCACCGCCGCTCAGGGGTCCCCGCGTCTGCCTTGGGGGCTCGAGTCCGGCTCTGGGGGTCCGGAAGCCGTTCAGGGGTCCCCACGTGCGTCTTGGGGGCCTGTGTCCAGCTCGGGGGGTCCGGACGCGCTTCAGGGGGTCCCCACGACTGACTTGGGCCTTGAATCGTGCCCTGGGGGTCCGGACGCCGTTCAGGGGTCCCCACGTGCGTCTTGGGGGCTTGAGTCCAGCTCTGGGGGTCCTGGACGCCTCAAAGGAGCCCCCACGTCTGCTTTGGGGGTTTGAGTCTCGCCCTGGGGGTCCAGGATGCCGGTCAGGGGTCCCCAGTCTGCCTTGGGGGCTTGAGTGCAGCTCTGGGGGTCCCGGACGGCGCCCAGGAGTCCCTGTGTCTGCCTCGGGCCTGGAGGCCAGGCCAGGCGTCCCTGGGTCTACACTGGAGGCTGGAGTCCAGCCCTGAGGGTCCGCTGGAGTTCAGGGGCGCGATCTCAGCTCACTGCAGCCTCCGCCTCCCGGGTCCAAGCGATCCTCCTGCCTCAGCCTCCCAAGTAGCTGGGATGACAGCTGCCCCCACCATGCCCGGCTAGTTTTTGAATTTTTAGTACCGATGGGGTTTCATCTTGTGGTCCGGGCTGGTCTCGAACTCCTGACCTTGTGATCCCCCCGCCTCGGCCTCCCAAAGCGCTGGGATCACAGGCGTGAGTCAGGGCGCCCGGCTGGGGGGAGGGGGGGCGGTCTTTCATTTTTCAGGAAGTCAGTGGTGCTTGGCATGTTCTGGAAGCGTCTGCAGGAAAGTCGGGGCCTTCTGGTGCTTGAGGCGTGGCTGGTGAAACCCCTCATGGTAGGAGCCGGTATCCGAAACGACCCGGGGACCGCCCTCCAGGGTCTGGATTGGAGGCCACAATGGTGGCGGTTTCGGTTTCAAGTCCCTAGAAGGGGACAGGGGCCTGTGGCCCGGGCCTTGGAGAAAACCTGCCGCCCCGTCTCCTTCTGGGGAAGGAGCTTCAAGCGTTTCAATTCACTTGCAACAAAGAGGCCCCTGCTCAGCTCAGAGTCACTTGGGGTTTTCGCTTTATCTCACGGGGGCCTCTGAATCTCTGCTGCTTCAGACTCGTCTACCTTTTCAGTTACGTATTTATTTATTTTAAACCCGGTTCTTGTTGCCCGGGCTGGAGTGCGACGGTGCCATGTGACTCACCGCAGCCTCCGCCTCCCGGGTTCAAGCGATCCTCCTGCCTCAGCCTCCCGAGTAGCTGGGGTGACAGGTGTGTGCTGTCACGCCTGCCTGAATTTTTTTTTTTTTTTTTAATAACACGGGGTTTCACCATGTTGGTCAGGCTGGTCTTGAACTCCCGACCTCAGGGTATCCACCTGCCTTGACCTCCAAAGTTTTTTTTTTATTTTTTTTTTAAAGGGAGTCACCCTGTGTCACCCAGCCTGGAGTGCAATGGCTTGATCTGCGCTCACTGCAACGTCCGCCTCCCGGGGTCAAGCGATTGTCCTGCCTCAGCCTCCCGAGTAGCTGGGGTGACAGGCGCCCGCCACCACGCACTGCTGACTTTTTGTATTTTAGTGGACACGGTTTCACCGTGTCGTCCAGGATGGTTTCGATCTTGTGACCTCGTGATCCACCTGCCTCGCCCTCCCAAAGCGCTGGGATCACCGGCGCGAGCCACGTTGCCGGCCTGGCGTGGTTTTGTATTTTTAGTGGAGACGGGGTTTCTCCGTGTGGGTCAGGCTGGTCTCGAACTCCTGACCTCCGGTGACCCCCCGTGCCCGGCCTCCAGTCTGTCGTCTAAGGGAGTCACTCGGCTTCCTTTTCTCCATGAGTTTATCGGGAAGTAGTTTTGAAGCCGATTGGCGGACACGGCAGGGAAGGGGGGCACGTGTCCGGAGGCTGAGGTCGGAGGATCGGTTGAGGCCAGGAAGTGGAGGCTGCAGTGAGCTGAGGTCGCAGCACGTGCAGCCTCGTTGCATCTCAGAGGAGAAGAAATGACTCCCAGGAAAGCGTCTGAGGCCGGGGGGCAGGGGCTCCCGCCCGTCATCCCAGCCCGTGGAGAGACCGAGGCAGGGGGATCGCCTGAGGTCGGGAGTTCGAGACCGGCCTGCCCAACGTGGGGAAACGCCGAGTCTACTAAAAATCCAGACATTTCCTGGGCGTCGTGAATGGGATTTGCTCTAGGTCGCCCTAAGTGGGGCCGTCGACTATGACTGTTTTTTGAGACGGAGTTTCGCTCTGTCACCCAGGCCGGAGCGCCATGGTGGGATCTCGGCTCGCTGCAGCCTCCGCCTCCCGGGTTCAAGCGGTCCTCCTGCCTCAGCCTCCGGAGTAGCCGGGATGACCCAGGGCCCGACGCCACGCCCCTCTAATTTTTGTGTTTTTAGTAGAGACGGGGTTTCACCGCATGGGTCAGGCTGGTCTCGAACCCGTGACCTCAGGTGATCCGGCCGCCTCGGTTTCCGAACCAAAGCGCTGGGATGACGCGTGAGCCGACAGGGCAGGGCGAATTCAGAGGATTTTTAACACCGCAGAAGTCAGACTCGGTGTGGCAGGGGGTGTGGGGGAGTGTGTGGGGGGGGTCGTGGGGTGTGGGGGAGCGAGTATGGGAGGAGAGTGTGTCTGTGCACGGGTGTGGGGCGCAGAGGATGTGTGAGCGTGTTGTATGTGCACTTGAGTCTGGGAGGGGTGTGGGGGGTTGTGTGGGGTGGGTCTGTGTGTGGGTGTGGGGTTGTGTAGGGTGGGTGTGGGGGGATGAGTGTGTGTGTGAGGACTGGGTGTGTCGAGGTGTGGGGTGTGTGTGGTCCGTCAGTAGGGGGTGTGTTTGTGTCGGTGGGGTGCATGTGGGATGCGTGTGTATGGGGGGTGTGGGCGGGGGTGTGTGTGGGGGCGTAGGGTGTGAGGTTGGGGTGTGTGTGTGTGTGGGGGGGTGTCTTGCAGTGGGTGTGTTGGGGTATGGTGTGTGTTTAGTCCGTGGGTAGGGGGGTGTGTGGGGGTGTGGGGTTGTGTGGGGGATGTGTTTGGGGCGTGATGTGGGTGTGGGGAGTGTGTGGGTTTGTGTGGGGTGGGTGTGGTGGGGTGTTGGGTGTGTGTAGTACGTGGGTGGGGGGTGTTTGTGGGTGTGTGTGGGCGGGGATGGGGTCAGCATGTGGGGGTGTGTAGCCTGTGGGGGGTGTGTGGGGTGTGGGGTGAGTGGGTGTGGGGTGTGTGCGTGGCCTGTGGGTGTGGGGTGTGTGTGGATGGGGGTGCACATGGGTGGCGGTGTGTGTGCTCTGTGTGTGGCGGCCGTGTGGGTGGGGTGTGTTTGTGGTCTGTGTGTGTCGGGTGTGTTGGTGGGCGGTGTGTGTGGTCCGTGTGTGTGTGGAGTGTATATGGCGGCGTGGTGGCGGTGTGGCTGGGCTGTGTGTGGGTGTGTGCGGTGTGGACGGGAGGGGTGTGTGGGTGGGGGTGTGTGTGGGGTGTGTCGGTTGGCGTCTGTGTATGAGGGTGTGTGTGGTGTATGTGTGGGGGTGTGGGGTGTGTGGCCTTGTGTGTGTGCGATGTGTGTGGGGTGTGTATGTGGAATGTGTTTGTGTGTGGGGGTGTGTGGGGTGTGTATGTGGCTGGGTGGTGTGTGTGGTCCGTGTGTGTGGAGTGTGTATGGGGGCGTGTGGGGGGTGTGGGTGGGCTGTGTGTGGGGTGTAGGTGGAAGGGGTGTGTGGGTGGGGGCCTGTGTGTGTGGCATGTGTGTGTGGGGTGTGTGTGTCGGTTGGGGTGTGTGTGTATGGCGGTGTATGTGTGTGGACTGTGTGGTGTATGAGTGGGGGTGTGGGGAGTGTGGCTTTGTGTGTGTTGGGTGTGTCTGTGGTGTATGTGTGGGGTTGTGGGGAGTGTGGCTTTGTGTGTGTGTGGGGATGTGTGGGCTGTGTATGTGGGTGGGCTGCGTGTATGGTCCGTATGTGTGGGGGGTGTGTATGAGGGCGTGTGTGGGGGGATGTGGGGCTGTGTGTGGGGTGTGGGCGGAAGGGGTGTGTGGGTGGGTGGGGGTGTGTGTGTATGGGGCCGTGTATGCGTGTGTGTGTGTGGCTCTGTGTATGTGTGTGTGTGTGGCTCTTTTTGTGTGTGTGTGTGTGTCTTGTGTGTGGCTCTGTGTGTGTGTCTCTGTGTGGCTCTGTGTCTGTGTCTGTGTGTGTGTGTCTGTGTGTGGCTCTTTGTGTGTTGTGTCTGTGGGGCTCTGTGTGTGTGTGTGTGTCTGTGCGTGTCTCTGTGTCTGTGTGTGTCTGTGTGTGTGGGGCTCTGTGTGTGTGTGTCTGTGTGTGCGTGTCTGTGTGTGGCTCTGTGTCTGTGTGTGTGTCTGTGTGTGTCTGTGTGTGTGTGGCTCTGTGTCTGTGTGTGGCTCTGTGTGTGTGGGGCTCTGTGTCTGTGTGTGTGGCTCTGTGTGTGTGTGTCTGTGTGGGGCCCTGTGTCTCCGCCTGCGTGGCCCACGTGTGTCCCCGCGTGTGCGTCGTGGCCGACATCCTT